TCAACCCCTCCCGTGGGCAGCCTCTTCCAATGTTTAACCACTCTTTCAGTAAAGACATTCGTGCCCCAATCCCACCCGCAGCACCGAGGGAACTGCCAACTGCCCACACTCAGGCTGTTACCCATCGCTTGTAGCAATTTTGACTTTCTAACATCCGAACGCTAGCACGACTCCTGGTACTAAGTCACGTATTTCAAAAATTCGTGCCCCAATCCCACCCGCAGCACCGAGGGAACTGCCCGTTAAACACACTCAGGCTGTTACCCATCGCTTGTAGCAATTTTGACTTTCTAACATCCGAACGCTAGCACGACTCCTGGTACTAAGTCACGTATTTCAAACAAACCCATGTTTCTTCTGTCCGTATTTCAAGGCAGGTGATGGTTCAGACACCTGGGCAGCACCCAGCTTAGCTCCAAGCCTGCTGGCAGAGTAAACCGGAGCAGTTTTCTGCTGACCTGCGGGGCTTATGTTATGCAGGTGCTTTTTTAATTAGGTTTCGTTTGCCTTGCAAGGGTCTTTAGGGCATCCTCTGATCACCTCCTTTAATTATCCTGTCTGATCTTTAAGTGTATTGCATTAACACACCCCCCGTGTTTACTCTCCATCGTTATTATTTGCAGTAACGACCTCTCAGCTGCACCCACACAGCCCCTTGCCCGCACCACCGTCCCCCAAGATTTCTGCCCAGGCTGGCTCGGTCCCCAAATGCCACCGACTCGTCACCTGCACTGGCCTCCTGGGCAAAAGCAGGACCTTAGCCCAGGACAACTAGGGGTTGCAGTCACTGCCGAAGAAAAGGTGCTGCTTTGCAACGGGAAATTACGAGAGGTGTTCTAGCACTTTTAATTATGTATTGCTTTTCTGACCCACCGGCAGCCCTGGGGTTATGCCACTTGTTCCGTGCCTCGTTTGCAACTCCAGGCAGAGATGGCACCGCAGGGAGAAAAGGGGAGCAGAGGAGCCTCAAAGAAAGCAAGCACAGAAGACTGCGTTTTGCTAATGCATTTTGCTCAGGCGATAGGTAATTCTTTGCAACTTCAAGTTATTGGAGCCAGAAACCATTTCTCGTGTATACACGGACGGCACACGACATGCTGCTGAACCCCCAAATCCACGTGAGCGGGAATAACTCATCAATACCGTTCCATTAACTTAATAAAACGGGACAGGACTTGGGAATGAAGATTAAAACTTCCACAGGGTCCCAGTCTTGCAAATGCTGGGACTGGGACTGCCACAGCTTCGCGCAGCATCCTTGTTAAACGCCACTGGATTACACAGCAACGATTATTTCGATGTCATGTTAAGCGACCACGTATCGCTACAGATTACGGATTTTATTAGCGCCACTGTGTTTTCGATTTGTGTTTTTAATTGCGATATTCTGATGCTCAAAGTGTAAACGACATTTTATCGTGTTAGTGATGCTAATGATCCTACAGCATGTAAAAGGTACAGAGGCGTTTTACAGCATTAATGACCGTCTGAGTTCTGGTAGCTTGGGAAAAAAAGCTCATTTTCTTTTCATTCCAGCTCGTCGCAAGCCCTTGCTCTGTCCCCTTCCTGAAGTAATACAGTAGTTCACAAGAACAGCCAGTTATTTGAAGCAGAAGGTGACGAACAGCTATTTTCTGGCTGAATACGACCGGTTTGGTCAGGCAAAAGGAAATAAGACCAAGGAAACCAATGATGAAAAATCAGAGAGAGAAAATCCAGGGCATCCCTACGGAGGCTGCAGCTGCATCCCAAAAAAAAGACAAATTAATTCATAAAAGAGATACTCAGCGCTATACAAAGAAGCTGTTCTGGGGCAGTGTGCTGAGATCCCGGCTTTCCCAGGGCAGGATTTGTGCCTTCCTACAACAGGAGATGGAGCAAAGCCAAAACCTCGGTGAAGCCACCTCCCCAGGTCCCCACTCCACAACCGTCGGAGCCTCCGAAGGGCATTAATTCTTCATACTCGATGCGATGCCACATGCACGGATCGTACCTTGATGCCTCGGGGGGGAAAACACCAGGGACCTTCCCTAGAGCGCTAAAATATCCTTTAATTTAGGGCATGGATGAGGCAGAGGGGAGAAAAAGACGCATGAAACTGTTACTGGGGGAGTGAGGGCTGCTTCTAGTCGGGTATTTAAAGCTTCCCTAGGCTCAGAAACACGGAGCTTTAGCTCGACTTGACTCTCAACCTTATATAACGTTCATTTTCTGAATAAAATCCCGCTTGATTTTTTAAAGCTGGTTGGAAATGAACTGGCCGCAGTCTCCGCTGGGCTGCCCGGTTGCACCAGCTTGCATCGCTCGTTAGCAACGTGTCCACCTCCAGCACTGGATTTAACGAGCGCGCCCAGGTTTGAGAACCCCACTTTTATTGTGTTAGGAA